AAAAAAAGTGGGTATTTAACTTAAAAATAAGAAAACATGGCATTAAGCCTGGGTTTCTGATGGGGGTTTCTTAGTACTGATTGCAGTACCACACAGTATTGGTAATACCACCCTGCTATGTTAATTACTTCAGTAGGAAAAATCTTACAAACTGAAAAATACTAAAAAACAAAATATATTTGTATAGTGATTGTGAGATTGGGAGATTGAGATGCCAATGGATAATAAGCCTCATGCCTAACTGCTAAACACATCACAATTGTTCTTTGTGTTTCTCCTAAAACGCTACCCTGGAAATCTGCCCCACCATGCCTAGCAGGCAAAATGCTGATAGGTTCCAAGAATGAACATTGTTTATTTTGACAGTTTAAATTTTTCACTTAGACAGATTTCCAGGAAAGATTACCTGTCAAGTGTTTGCTCCAAAAAGATAAGGGTAATCACTTATTTCTTTTAACAACTTACTAGAAAAAAATCTTTAAGATTAGTGTAATCAACCACAAAAAGTAGACCTGTCATGACAAGGGAGCATAGTTTATATATTTATTGTCAATAAGCTGATTTGTTGTTAGTTTGAAGTACAAAATAAGACCTTAATTTTGTTTTCATTTTGCTCTTTCATTATGAATGACTGTTGGAAAGTTTTTTATGAAACCTGACACCACTTACTGTTTTCTTTTACTGTGATGACATTTTGAAAATGCCTATTAGATCCTAAGGGTCCAATTTCATTTTCATAACATGAAAATTAAACTTTGACATTGCTAAAACAACAGAGTTTGAGTAGAGATACACTGTATGGGTTCAATTAAGAGTGTTACTTTCCAATACCGTGTTCAAATTCTGATTCAAAGGAAATACTACTGAAAGAGTTTTAATTATAATTTATTCAAAATATTCATAGTGGTTTTGCTTGTGCTGTTGTCTTTCATGAACATTAGTGATCTCATGTTTGTTTATATCACTTTTTGATAGTACTCGAACTGGAGGACACTATTTTTCCATCCACTAGTGTCTGGGTGACAGTCTCTGATGTTGTCCTGATGGATTCTTTCTCTAATCTGTAAAATATTTGATTAACACCAAGATGAAGGTTTCTAAAGAAGAAAGAGGCATGGTCAAAATGGTCGAAAAGCTCACTCTTATTCTTCTCCATCCAGAAGTCTCCTGTAGGTGGCTATCTCAGCTTCCAGCTCCATCTTGATGTTGAACAGGGCCTGATAATCCACTGTCTGACTTTGAATGTTGTCACGCAGCTGTTTAAGCTCAGACTCTCTCAGCAAAATGATGCCATTATATTGCTCCACCTGCATCCCAAATCGCAACTTTGTTTCATTAAGGGCGTCTTCCAGAGATGCTCTCTGTAAGAAAAGTCAAAAATAAATAAATAGATAAATAAATACTCATAAGTAATGTTCAAAAGTGGAGAGCTGCATCAAGGTGTCAGGGCAGAATCTCTTACACTTCCAATCAGAGACTGCAGCTCTGTTTTCAAAGTCTGCATCTGCCTGTGGCTCACGCTGACTTGTGTTTTGGCTTCTTTCAATGCTTCTTCGTTCTCGGTCACTTTAACCTGTACCACGGAGATCTGTGCAAAAAAAAGAAATACATGTAATTCTCTGTTGTCTTAAAAACAGAAATAATGTGTAAAATTTGCAATGAGAAATGATGCCCCACTTTTGATTCATGCCAATTTTTTAGTTCCTCCTGGTTCTTTAGGACAATCTTTTCATACTTGGCTCTTATCTCCTCCATGATCTTAGCCAAGTCCTGTCCCTTGGGAGCATCAACATCCACCTGCACTCCTGACTGGTTGATTTGACTATATCGTTCTGACACTTCCTGAAAAATGTGAGATTTGAGGTTCCACAGGGTTATATCTTTGGCCCTCTCCTGATTGTGAGCTACTGCACTCTCTGAGCAAGTCAGCATTGTGATCTATTGTTATTAAATATATATTTTTATTTATGTGTAGTATAATCATGTATTTACCAGTTGATGTCGTTTCTTTAACTCGATAAGCTCCACTTTCAAGCCTTCAACATCATTTTCTAGATGCAGTCGTGCCATATTGGTGTCATCCAGCATCTTTCTCAATGCATTTATGTCAGCTTCAACATACTGTCTTAGATGCAGTTCATTTTCATACCTATAAACACATAACATTAATGGGAATTATTGTTTCTTAATATTGCTAGTCAATTGCATGTTGCATTATGGGGAGGGACGTTCTCAGTTTAGTCACTGGACAAAAATTGGACCCAAGATGAATCATTGATATGTTTGGTTCATTTTCCTGGAAATGTATATATCTGCAACAAGTTTATATTGTCCAGCTTGCACATATGCATATAGTTCTTGACATATAGATGGGCTCGAAGCTAATACACATGGAATAAAACCCACAAAACATAGTTTGATTTCATGGAGTCTTTAAAACTAGCTTACTTGACCCTGTAGTCATCGGCAGCCAACTTGACATTGTCAATTTGAAGACTCACATTTGCATTGCTCATAACCATCTCCAGAATCTAAATGGACATAACCAAAAAAGGTACAATACAGTCTATTGTTAGTTTATTATCTAAGGCCACTATAGAGAAGCTGCTTCTCAAGAATTAATTACATGCCTTACTCAAGGGCACATTCAAAGTCCAGTTTCTGAGCCATCCTTACTTTGAACTGAACCTGCAACCCTTTCATTACTCCCACTTCACACTATAGTAATGTGCAAACATTACTGTCTAATAAAAATGTAAGCAAAAATAAATAATTATGCATATTAAGATACTGCACAGGACAAAATTGTTAAAGACAAGTATTCCAGTGGACAGAAGTTCCAGTTACCTCTTTGCGTAGTTTATCAAAGGTGGCTTGGTAGTGACTGTAGTCCTTAGTGGCCTGACCTTTTTTCACCAGAACCTGGTGGATTTTCACCTCCAGCTCACTGTTGGCCTTCTCCAAGTTCCTAACTTTCTCCAGGTATGAAGCTAGACGTTCATTCAGGATTTGCATGGTAACCTTTTCACTTCCAACATTTCCAACAAGCCCCATTTGTACAGTGGCAGATCCAAAGATGTCCTTGGAATAGGAACCCCTATTCCCAGCACTTCTCCAAGAGTAAAATGTGGGTCTTAGCATGCTGAGATCCTCTGAGGACGATCTATATATTCTTTTGTTCTGAATGCTGAAGGTCTGCATTTTGCTTAGTTTTCTGCAGAGAAGAGATCTTTAATGAAAAGGAGATCAGATGAAACCGCTGGTTCTAAGAGGTATGAGATTTTTATGGTTTTGCAGTTCACAAGTAGTAGGCACATTTCTGTTATCTTTAGACTCTGGACTTCCACCCCACCCACTGCTTAGTGTTTTGGTACAGTAGTATTAACTGGGTAATAAAACTTGTATGAATTTCTTTTTTATGTGGGGCACAAAAGAAGATATTTAGAAAAATGTGTTTGTTTGTTTGTTTGTTTTGTCCGTACAGTGAAAGTCAGTTCAATTTGAGGTTTCACAGGGTTATATTGTGGGCCCCCTCATATTTGCGAGCTATATAGTAAGAAACTTTGGACTAAACAGTGCTATTTTGGAACCCATTGATGTTCATTAGCCGCGTTTCCACTGTTGGGCCAAAAGCGGGCGTGCTAGTGCGTGCCAGGGCCAGTCGCGTTTCCACTGTCACTTCCAGGACTTGATCGTGCCTCGTCGGTGCTTCCTCTGGGCCAACGGCCCGGGTTTTTTGGCCCGACGAAAACCTTGGGCCAAAGAGGGCCGGCTGAGGCTAGAGGAGTGGCTATGAACAAAGG